GGAAGAGAGGAATTTAGGCACAAGTTTGACCCTCTGGCTGCCACGGAAGCTCAGAGGTACTCTCCCTGTGGTGGTGATGGGCAGTGAGTGGCTCCACATAAGTCAAATATATCTCCCTGGGGAGATGAAAACCCTTTTTACAATTGGCCTTTCTGACCTGGAAAGATGCAGGACCACCTCTTTTGCTAGGAAATAGGATTTAAAAGTACTTCAATGCTTGAAGTGTCGGCTTCAGATCTTCATGAAGTGGTTTTTATGGGTCATCACAAGGAATCAGAACTTGTGGCTGGGACAATTTCAGTTGAGCTTTGGAAGAAGCAAAGTTTGCACCTTCAAAACTTAGAGCTAGATTTTACTGAGGATCTGTAAGGTGCTGAGCAGGGAGATGGCTGTGTCTTTTCCATCACACTGCCCCTGTAAATAAATGCAAGGACCAGGACAGTTGTGATGCATGTGAGACTTGGCTGCAATATGACACTTCTGGCTTGTAGGACACAACTTTTATCTGCTGCAGGGCTTCGTAAGTCCTTCAGCACAGGGGCCCTGGGAGCTCAGAGAGCTCCAGGATTTCTGCTTGTGTTCCCAGAGCCTTTGGGAGACTTTTACAAAAATCCTTGCCCCATCCATCCCACAGCATTTGCAACCTCTGTCCCCTCTGCCCTACAGTCCTCCCTGGAGCCCTGGGTGCTGTGGTCCAGCCAAGCTGGCTGTTCCAAGGTGACCAGAGCTCCAAGCTCCCTCTCATCCCACTAAGATGAACAAACCCCATTAATTAGATGGAGAAATAAATGTCTAGCAGGAGCATCCACTTGAAGTAGCTCCAAAAACACAGCTCCAAAATGTGTGGCCCTTCAGCCAGTGTGGCTATGTACATCCCCATGTCATTGTGGGTCAGACCTCTTTGCCCTCCAGGACAGAAAAGCATGGTGCAGGAGATGTAGGATCCTTTTCCTTGCTTGTCCAGATGAACTGGGAGGTAAAACCAGGCCACTTGTCTGCAAAGGTTCTTCCCCATCAGCTACCATTGTAGCAACACCAGAAATGTCAGCAAACTCCCCAGAGAGGAAGTCTGCCCACACCAAACACCTAAACAGCTCACGTTTGTAGCTCAGAAACACAGCAAGGAGCTTACTAGTTGGCAAACGGACTGAGTTGTAGCACTGCCTTTATTTTAAAGGGCAATTAGCACAGTGGAAGGATTCTCTCTGCCTCTTCAATATGCTACATTTGTAAGTTAAAGGCTCAATTTATAGTTAACGTTATATAATAACATATGTCACAGCTCTGCAATTGAGCTGCTCTGTGGCATTGAGCAAACTGTGCCAGAGCAGAAATCCCGAGAGATGTGAATGGGGAGGGAGGAAATAGTACTGTGAAATTAGATGGTACTCACTGGAATGTAGTGGGGAGGTTTGCAGTGAAAGACTGAAGCTCTGGAGATGTCACTATTTGGGGTTTTCCCTTCCTGCTCTCTTGAGAGGTGGGAGTGTTTGATTCACGTATGGTTTTTGCAGATTCCTTTCAGTGAGGGCTGTGCTCAGGGCTAGTGAGTAGCAATGTTGGGACAGTCCAGGAGACATAAACAGGGCAGGCCCATGAACCACACTGTAAACCTGGTTTTGGGGCAGGGAACATCCAGAGTTTCCAGCAGGCAAGTGGAACAGTCTGGATGTGTGTGGGCAGATGCATATACTGGCCCTTGGCTGGAGCATGGCTTTAATTTCAGCACCAAGCACTGCAGTGACAATCTCTTGCTGCCTCCCAGGTAAAGCAGAGATGATGAGCATGTCACCACTGTGACCACCCTAGTGATGGCTCCAGGCTGTGCCTGCTGCTGACAGTGAGTGGGAAACACTCTTAACAGTCTGGATGTGTGTGGGCAGATGCATATACTGGCCCTTGGCTGGAGCATGGCTTTAATTTCAGCACCAAGCACTGCAGTGACAATCTCTTGCTGCCTCCCAGGTAAAGCAGAGATGATGAGCATGTCACCACTGTGACCACCCTAGTGATGGCTCCAGGCTGTGCCTGCTGCTGACAGTGAGTGGGAAACACTCTTCTCTTTATTAGTAGTTGCAGAGGGATAGCACTGGGTTCCTGATCTTCACCGAGCCAGGCTGTCACCAGAGAGATCAGAAATCATTTATTTTTAACGCTATGAATATGTAGAAACTTGTCTGAGCTTCTGCACGCAGCGGCCATGAATTTAGAAGCGGCATCAGAAATCATGGCATTCGGCATCCTGCGTATCGGGTCAGAGCCATAAATTTCTCTTACTGGTGCACAAGCCATTTACCATACGTGACTTTCTGAATTTGTGGTCATTTCTCTCTCTACCCCTGTGTGCTGAGTGTATGACTGAGATTTTATATTGCACCTTGGAGACACAAAGTCCTTCTGGTGCTTTTGCCTCGCATCCTAAACAGGCTCACTTGCTCTCCTCCGCGTTCCCTCAGCTAATGGTTTCTGGCCACAGCCTGGCCCTTAAATCATGGGCAGCACCTGGACAGGCATAAACTGCAACTCTCCCCAGACACAGTGGATTTGATTAGAGTGATGAGGGATGTGACTCTGAACACAGGCACTCAGCCTTGTGAGAATGGCTGCTCCTACACTGAGCCTGAGGCTCTGAAGCCCAAGAGGATAAGTCCTACGGAGACCTCTGACACATTCAGTGAGCCTTTCCAAGGACAGTTGTTCAAAATATAAAGGGAGGAAGTGTTCAGTGTGGATATAGTGGGGTATGTTAAGATGATCTGTGTGTTGGGAGGAAAGCTTAAGCTAAGGAAGTTCGCACTGTGAGCACTGGAAGATGGTGCTGCCATCCACCTCCTCCACTTTGCTGCCTGTGCTTTTCCTCCCCCACCTCTATATGTTCTAGACATAAAAGCTTTTTTATTGCAAGACTATTTTTGCTCAGTGAATTAAAATGAAGCATTTGCAAACCCTCCTCCCCTGTGCAAATGCTCCCAGCAGCAGTGCTCTCTGCCTGGTCCCAGCCCCTCTGGTCAGCCTAGGAAAGATGACACACAGCAGCAGGACCCGAGTGGGCTGTTGCCAAACCCAGCCCTGCTGACATGTGCCCATGCCTCAAAACAGGTCTGTCCTCTTCCACAGATCTGCTCCCTACGAGCCTGGTGAATCACTAAAGGCAGCAGATGCTACTAAGATGTTTCCTAACTAATTTTTAATCCTTTTGGCACAACACGCAAACATCAACTGTATCAACAAGACTGTTTATTAAATTTGTTCAAAATAGTGCAACCCCATTGAGATACTTTGGTGTAGTAAAATGAAACAAGAACAGGGGATTTTCACACATGTTGCTGAGAATTTTATCTTGCCTGCAGGTTGCTCTTGAGAATGATATATAGGTGTTACCAAGGTCTGAGCCCAATTACAAGAGTAGGGCAGCAGGACACTGGAAACTCCACATTTCTGGGTCAAAGACATAGATGATGTGGCCTCTACTACTAACTCACAGCCACTTTTCAAAGCCAAGGTCTCCAGCAAACTACATGTACAATTCTGTTTCCATCAGGATAAGGTTTCTGTGCTTGTTAAACGTGAACTTTTGAGCTTTTTCTACTTAATCCTCTTCCAAGTGTATAAGGTGTTTTGGGAGATTTTTGAAATGGCAGTTTCCTGAATTTCTGACCTATTGATGCTTATCTAGAGCACTTACTATCATCCATCAGGGCCCTGCCAACTTGCAATCTGAATAATAGCAGAGAGAAAGCACCTTTGCCATCATGATTTTTCAACTATAAACTGCTGGAAGTTGATCTTCGTGAGAACAGCACTAGCTTCAGGTATTTAGCAGGGAACAAGCATCGAGCAAAGGAAATACCATCTAGAGCTCTGGTGGTACAGAGTTATGTATGTGGAAACAGGTCACTGGTACAAACGGGTTCATAGGTGCTAGCAGACACGAGTAAAGAGAATTTTGAAAGCACAGGTGTCACAGAACCTGCCCCTAAAGAACCCCATGAATCTGTGGCTTGGGCAAATGCCACCTCAAACAGAAAACAGAGGAGGCCAGAGCAGACTAGAAGATGTCAGCAGCTTTCTTTCATTTTTTTTTCTCAAGCTTCTATGCATAGCTTCAGTGTTAACCCACCTTCATGCCTTTATTTCAAGTTCCATAACTTTTTAATCAAAGAACAACTCAGACTTCAAAAACAAATCCAAGGACTACTGTACTTTGCAGAAAGGATGGTCTTGTACAGAAACCACTTACAACCAAAAAAAAAAAGATTATTACATTTTGATTGCTATGGTAAAGAGTAGGACAGGGTAGAAAGTCATAGCTGCTTTGCTTTGTTCCTCAGAGATGGGGAACTGTGCACATCTGGCTTCAAATAAATAATAACTTCCCAATGGCCTTTTGTCTCCCAGCTTCAAGAGTTTCTGAACTAGCTGAAGGCCACTTCCTTGCTAAGGGCTTTTGTCTCACTCCAACCTAGAGCTTTGTGACAAAACTGAAGTTATTTTGTGGAAGGGATGAAGTAGATGCCTCAGTAAGGGTATTGGCTCTTGGCTGAGGTTTGTTTGAATTTACTATTTCTGATATGAGCAACTGCTCACTTCTAGACCATTTTACTTTAAATGTGGTCAAGGACTGCAGTCTACAGTGAGTCAGCCTATCTTCTCTCCCACTCTTGGCCCCACTCTGCTATGTCACAGTGTCCCAGCACTCCCTCCTGTGTCTATCATCAAGATCCCACCCGCACAGCACAGTGGGAGTGTAACTGTGTATGCACTGTTTTGTTCAGAACACTGAGGAGCAATCTGACTAAACACACCTTTCTCTTCCAAGCCATCACTAACCAGTTATTCTTCTTTCAGCTCAACTTCAACCTGCCACTTAACCATTTACTGCATCTATCTACACCTAAAAATTATTTGAAATGAAACATTCAATTATTACAGAGCTTAAACACCCAGAACAAGGCTGCTGTTTGATTTCTTTGTTTCAGAAATGATAAAGTACTCCAGCGTTAAACCCTTGTTCTCTCCAGCAGCAGCCGAGCCACTAAATTGATGACGTGGGGATTAACCAAACAGTCTAGCAAATCATTGGTAGAAAGGGCTGTTTGTGAGGTGTCTGAACCCATTTGATGTGCAGGAGTCTCACAGTCATTACTCATTACCAACTGCTTCCTCTTGCGGTGTAATTTTCCAAACTGTTCTCCTTCATTTTCACAGAGATGATCTCTACCATCACTTTCAACTGCAACTGCACCTGTCGAACTTGTTTCTTGAGTCTGTGGTAAAACTTGAATAAGATGAGGCCCAAAAGGTGTTTTCTGCAGCTCTTCTGCTTTAGATGTTGAAAAGTCAAATTCATGGGTTAGTGATCTGCAGCCCTTTGCTTCACAGCCAACTTTCCTTTTCTTCCTTTTGCATGAGGCACTTGTCTTTTGCTCTGCACCAGTGCTGCTGGAATGTGCCTGCTCTGACACACTTGTCTTCTGACACTCAAGATACGCAGACACTGCTTTATTCAGGTACTGAAGATTGATTTCATGGGATGTTGCCTCAACCTAAGAAAACACCCAGGATACACTCAGTTAAAAGGAGACATGTTTCAATTCAGCGCTGCATGATTATCTTCCATGAATTACTTTTGCTACATAAAGGGAAGGAGTTTAAAATTCTTTTTCTCAAGCAGCAGAAAGACTCAGGGGGAGCTAAGCAAAATGTCAGTAATTCTTTGTTATCACTGCTATAATGGGAGCAAGAGAGGACTTACCTCCGTGGGATTTAGCCAGAGATCTCCATCGCTGGGATTTTCTGCTGCTTTTATGGCACATACCAGCACTCGAGTTATTGCCTCTTCTACACGAGCTTCATGATCTGCATCCTGCCTCAAGAGAACAGAGAGTTTTAGGAGATAGCTTAGCTCTTGGGTCTCTGCAGAAAGCTGAAAGATCTTGGGAAGTACATGGATGGCTTTAGTTTGAAAGCTCTTATTCTGTTAATTGAATCTGGTGCTTGAAATGACAATGCAATGTTAGCATTTAATTAATGTATGCATTTATACAGCTCTTTAGGAGTAAAAGGGCTATGGAAGCACAGAGTACATTTTTTGTATCTACATATTATGTCTAATTTAAGTACATAAGCAAGGCAGCAGATATCTAGGGGCTACAGAGGCACAAAAGTGAGTCACAAGGAAAATTAGGAAATATTTTATCATGTAACAGCAGCTGACACAGCTGAAACAGCAGAAAAACATGTTTCCTCTGTAATCTCTCCTGCAAAACTAAAGACTAAGTTAATAACTGGCCCTCTGTTTCAGGCCTTTGCTTCCTGCATCATCCCCTTGGGACATCTGAATACTAGCTAGTTTGGGATAGCAGAACAAAACTTTTTTAGCTTTCCTTCCCATGTGAGTTTCTTGCATGTGGAAGGAGATGGTAGACTCTCCAAACAAGATGGGTGGTTTGGTTATTTCAATAACAAGTGCCTGGAAGTTGATACATAAATTTGTTTTGAGATGCTTAGACATGAGTTTTGGAGGAATAGTGTAACGTGGTCAACCCACAGCCCTGATCAGTCTAACTGCAGCTCAGGGAATATGTGACGCAAACCATGCATCTTGCTAGTATGAGTGCTGAAGGCAGTAATTCATCCTGGAACCCTAAGAAGAATTTGGGATAGAAGCAAGGGGAAGTGCTCTTGGCATTTTGTAGCTCTGGATGCTTGGCTTATTGATGACCTTATACAACAACCCTCCAAAATACAGAATTTGGTATTTACATGTAGGAATTATTTAAGGTGTTGCATTCTTGGTATTCATTCTGCCCTGCTGAATAACAGGGCTGTACTGATTGCATGAGAGTTGTTAGGAAGCAAGGAATACTTCGAGTAGCTCACATCCAGCTGAAAACAAATTAAATTTCTACTCTAAACTCTTGCCAATATAATTAATGGTTTCACTGGGACTATAATTGTTGCCGTGATTCACATCTGTCAATATGAGAGCAGCTGGTAACAGCTGCAAGCAAGAACTGCTTGGTTTGGTAATGGAAATGTTCTCAGCATTGTCTTTTAGTATCCATGTCAGAATTTATTTTCATAGATGGACTGCACAACACCTAACAGTGCTGTCATCATCAGCTGTAGAGATAATTTCTGTAAGCAACTTTCACCTGGGCTGCAATAGCTACATTTGCTTATGGCAGCTTTCAATATTTGGGGAGGGGAAACATTGCTCATTAGCAAGATCCAGCGAATACCCCTCTGTTTATGATGCCACACAACTACCTGCTCCTGCTGTCACCAAACAGGATCTTGGGTGACTTCTGCAAGACCTTTATGGCCAGAAAGGCCATGGAGTTTAGGTCCACTGTTTTTTTCCTTGCAATGCACGAGAAGAGTTAGAAATACTACAGCTAAGGCACCACCCCAACACATGGGAGCTACCAGCCTGGGACAACTGAATCCATCCTGCCCTAATCCTGCAGCAAGGGACAATTTGTGAGGCACAGCTTAGGGTACTAGTGTGCGTTGACATCAGGGTCTTTCCAAGCCCAGGGAACACAGCCAGTTCCTCTAAACTACCTCAAAAGCTGCTCAAATTTAAGGCAGGATTAAATGGCTGCTTTACAATATACTTGGTGCTTTCACTGGCACTGGATACAGCCTGGCTGTACTTAGGCCTATGGGCCTGCTGTCCTTGCTAAATACACAGTCTCATCTGGAAAATTTCTCCATGAGAGAAACACCCAAGTGAGTTCCTCTGCTCTGCAAATGCTTGGTTTGATGTTGGTATGAGAAATATATCGTGTGGTCTTTGAACAGCAGCTGAATGCGTATGTTCTTTCCCCTGCAGATTTCCAGTCTAATATAGGTTTTAAAAGCAGAAAAAAGAAGGCAATAAGTATGAGTGAGGCAGCTTTCACAGGCCATTTCAAAAGGTTCTTTTTTTTATTTTTAATATTAAGCTAGGATTAATAGTAAAGTCATTTGAAACAGAAAACCTTCTGGAGCATTGAGATGATCTAGTGGAAGATGTCCCTGCTCATTGCAGGGGGGTTGGACTAGATGACCTTTAAAGGTCCCTTCCAGCCCACACTGTTCTCGGGTTCTATGGAATCATCCCATACATACTGGTAACATGAGCAAGAAAAATCAAAGCCCAGGGGAAAAGAAAAATAATTAAATACTTGAGGAAATCCAATTTCAGGCAAATCAAAACTATCACAGAGAAATGAAAATTCAAAAATCCTCTTCCACCCCCTTCCTATCACATTAATCTGATTTAAATTCTAACTTAGCTTTGTAAGTAAGCATGTCCTTGAGGCGAAGTTGCTGGTTTCTTGTACCCTATTTAGCACAAAGCTAGTTAGCCCTTAAGAAACTGGACATGAAAGTTTAGCTTGTGTTTAATTGTTTGCCTGATTGAGGTGCACTTGAATTGGGATTTCTGCTGAATTGTGGCTTCAGATCTAGAACCTCAGAAGGTTCTTCAGGAAAACAGTGCATCCATAAGGGCTCTTCCCTTGCCAGCCTCTGAAACAGCACACCCAATAGGGCTGCAGCTGCAGACAAGGGGCAGAAGTCCATGCAGACATGGAAGTGCTGCATCACCATGACATAAAAAGGAAAATACCAGTTCAATCCAGGAGTTTATGCTGACAGTGATGGGATCAATGGATTCCACATAGTGCCACCATTGCCTTGGAACCAGAAGGACCTGGAATTGGAGACATCACATTAGGGTACTAGAAGAAATAAGAAGATAAGTTATTTTAACATAGGTGATGTGGGATGCAGAGACAGAATGAGGCAAGGAAATGGGGCTGGGAAGGTGGTATTTCTTTCTTTTTCTAAAGAGCCTTTTCTAAAGACCTAAGTGCTCACTCTCCTCCCACTGTATCAATACTATCATGTAAAAAACGGACATGATCCAGAACCACCTTTCATCCACACCTTCCTATGTGAAGCAGGACTGTAACCTTGTAACTGTTGTAGGTTGCACAAAGGGAGTGCAGCTGGGGTAGCAGTACAGCAGGGTTTTAGAGGAAGTCTCAGCCAAGCAGGAATTCTTTTGCAGACTCTCCAACTGAGCAGAATTCCCAGTTCCTTTAGCAGGACTGCTAGCTGGTTTCTCCAAAAAGCAGGTATCCTAATGCTCATCTAGGTGACTAACAACATGTAGCTTTAATTCTGGTAAATAATCATCAGTATTAAATTTGTCACTTTTAGTAGACATGCTTTTAGCTGGGACAATCTAGTTTAGATCAGAGTTTTACAACTATGTCAGGATGACAGCTGTGACATAAAAATGATTCTAACCCATAGTTTTTATGGTACAAGACATTGATGTTGTTTTGATGATAGAGGACAAGCTTTACAGATTACTGAACATTAGATTAACATGGAGCTATCAAGAAAGCATAAAAGATATTTTTTGACAAGGAATAAAAATGGTCAGACACGGATAAAAATATACACTTCAGAATGGGGAAAGTGAAGCAACGATCTGTATCTGAATTGCAGGCAATCCTTTTTCTTGGTAGACACAAATTACTTAGAAGAATGTTCTGCTACACAGATAGCTCTGTGCTTTGTTATATCAAAACATGGCTAATGAGAAAATGTCTGTGTAGGAAACAATGACTGTGGCCCTAGTCCTGCAAACACATACAGGACACTCAGCACAGAGTCATTTTTGGGCCAGAGGACAAAATGTTCTCCACAGACTTCAATTTAAGTCAAACAAAAAAAATATTGGCTCTGTAAATGTCAAAAACATTTAAAAACTGTACTTCAATCTAGCACAGCATACAAAAAAGAGAAGGAAGTTGGTCAGTGGAGGGCCATTATTTTAAAAATATCACTAATTAGTTATTCCTGACATCTAAAAGTGTATAAAACCCTACACAGACTTCAGCCAAAACATGTTTTCTACACTGAACAAGTTTCAGAGTGGTGCTTTTATCACAGAAACATCCACTTTAAATGAAAAGTGCAGTTGCATTAGCAGCAACGGGTTTATATGTTAGCAAGTGTTTGCCTACGTTTCATACAAAACTCCCCCAAACACTCATCTGCTCTACATTGAATTGATTACCTCACATTGAATTGTGCTAAAGAATCTGGGTGCCCTCCAAATGACCGGGTGTAATGATGAAGCCTGGAAAACTTTGTTGCACAGCTCCTGTAAGTGGCTGCTTGCAACAAGGGGATCCTTCCTCTGAGACCTGTGTAGGAAGCGAGAGCTTGTAACATGCTGGAGAAGTGGATGAAGACACTAGGGAATTGGGGTATGGCGCAGAGGGACTATGTAGCAAGGGAACACAAGCAAGGGACAAATTAAGGGAAATGTATAAATGTTTCAGTAAGAGATGCTGCCTGGAAAAACAGGATGGAAATGAGGTATAGAACGTGTTGGCTCAACACGACTTGCATGCAAAATGGAAACAGAATTGCTTTGGAAAGAAGAGGTACAGTCAGAAGGAAAATACAATTCCCCCCAAGAACTTTGGTGTTTTCAAACCAAAGAGGAGGCACTTGGTCTTTGGAGAGACTAGTCAGATTTTACTTGCCAGCAGGTTAAGGGTAATAACTGCAAAGTTGTGCCTGTCTGCAGCTGGCACTGTTTGCTGATGCAATTTATAGAAGAGCTACAGAGCTGTGATTCAAATAGGCAAAAAAGGTTCCATAAAGACACTTGCTCTCCCTATTTTATTTTTGGGCAAGCTTACTCCTGTTAAAATAAGGATTTATAGCAGCAAGGCAATTGAAATGATCAAAAAGCAAATGGACTAAAACTTTAAGGAACATGAAGAAATGGAAAAATGTAATTAAAACTAAAAATTACAGCTGGCAAGACAGCAGAACTAACAAAAGACCAAAAAAAAACCCCAACCTAGCAAAAAGAGAAGTGGAGGAGGATTCTTCTACCTATACAAACTAGTATTCTTCTAGGTTTGTAAATTAGAAGCAAAAAAATCCAAACAGAAACAAAATGAAAACAAAACCCACCACCGCTGCCTCTATCAATTCCACAATAAAATAAAGCAGACTTCCATATGTTTATGAGTATGGGGCACAGATTTTTCTACAATCCAATAGGAAATGTGAAAGCAAACCATGGTAAAATAACACACACAAATGCAGCAAACATTTTATAGGGAAAATGTAAAGTGCAAAAGCAAGACAACTATTCCAAGCTAAGAGAGAATCTTGTGCTAGTCTGTTTTCTGCAGAACACATCTCGCCTTGCAGGCTGGGAAGATACTGATCTAAACAGCAACCAATCAGATAATTTTAATATTTAGGCTAGTGATAGGCAAATATAGCAAATGAAGGCAAAGTAGGACAGAAATCCCAGAAAAGATAAAATGAAATTCTGTAATGGGAGGAAAGAAACCAAGGGAACAGTTGGGAGAGCAAGTGGAGCAATGCTGAAGACTTGTACAGCACAGAGAACAGACCAGGTTTAAATTCTCAGTGGACATGATTAACTCAATACGGTGCAAAGGTAGGGCAAAGGTGGAATTGCTTCAAAAAGAGAGCATACCCTGCAGTGAAATATCATACTGAGAAATTTCTGCTCATTAGAAAAAGATATTTGGGTAAATGCACGCAAAAGGGAAGTCAGTGCGATGGGAAGAAAAAGACGTGGGGCTGCGGAGGTACCCAAGCAAATCCCTGAGCTTCTTGCAACCATGGCAATGAAAAATAAAATGAAATTGATACATGCAAACTCAATACTGTGGGAGCACCACCTGAGGATTCTGTGGCAGTGCTGCTACCCCAGCCTATGCCCCATCTCAGCTGGGGCCTGGCTGTCCTGCTGCTAGGAGGGCGTTTCTCACCCTGCCTCCCTCCTCCCTGGTATCTTGCCACCTACTGAAACTGAGCTCCAAGGGTCACAGAAACACAGGCACAGCCCTGGGGAAAAGCACTGTGAAGAGGGAGGAAGTGAGGCTGTTACAGGGCATGTCTATAGTGACCCAGGTGAGACACAGAGAAGAGGTGGAGAAGCAGAGTTAGGAACTCGCAGCTTTCACCTTTGGTCTGCCTGGATTTTGGGGCACTCATGGGGTTCTCTAAGTGTGTTGCAGGCTGAGTGGTAGTTTTATCACCAACCTCAGTGTAAATTCAGCTCCCTTCCTGCTTCTCCTGTGATGGAGACAACAGTTGAGTTGGGCTGCCTGCTTTGACTGTGGAGTGACTTGGGGCCAGATCTGCAGTCTCTCAGATGAAAACTCTTTATTCCTTCCCCAAAACAGACTTGCCAACCACCTACTATGCCATGCTGTGGACAATTCTGAATTCTCCTTTACTAAAATCACTTAAACTCTTCTCCAACACAAGCAGTTTTTCAATGTAACCCCTTTTTAAAAGTATTTTGTTTAGCTGGAAAACCTTGCTGCCTTTTAAAAAGTTTGAATTACTGCATTTCCTGAGGTACTGCAACACTTTTCTTTGGTATCACTTTTATTTTTCTTGACTATTCAGACTGTCTATTCTGCTGTTCCCCACTTTAAGCCCAATCCGAAGTTCTCCAACCTTGTCTTTAAAGGTGGCACACAGGGAAATCTCTCCCTGACTTCATAAGAGGTTTTTTCTTGCTCAGGGTTGGGTTAGAAGTTAGGGGTCTGACTGTGCTGTTGGAAGCTCTGGGTACTGAGCAGGATCCCATGGTGTGTTAGATTCTGAAGCAGGAGCACAGAAAGAGAAAACCTTGCAGCCATACACAGGAACTGAGTGACAACTGTATTCGTGGACACTGAGTTTGAGATGTGTTTCTTTAGACTTTGAGAAAGCAGGTAAGCAAAAGCAGGGGAGGGAATCTTCTGAGCAGCAGACCTGGGTGAGAGACAGCAAGCAGTAATGTTGATCTTTTTCTAAAACCATTATTTCCCACAGTGCAACAACATTTTTCAAGACCAGAAGGGAACATCTTAGTCTCCATTTTCCTCTAAGACTAGCTTAGTTAGGTATCTCCTTGCACTTCTGCACTGCAGCTCCTCTGGCTCCAGGCTGCACCTGGGGCACCAGGACACAGGAGAGAAGGTAGCAGGGCAGCTGAGCACTGCCCCTACCAGCACGTGGTGTCCAGTACTGCTCCTGACTGGGGCAGCATGAGAGGGAATGGCATTGCTCATGGGAGCCCAGTGTGTAAGCTGCTTCCTCTCCATTAGGAGGACAGGTGTGTGGAGCTAAATGTGTCTGATTTCAGGTAAGATCAGCTGCACTTCCTAGGCTTTTACCATTGTCTGGTTATGTGGATACAGATTAACAGGGAGATGGATTAAGAATGATTCCATGAGAGAGCAGGAAGGAAGCAAGAGGCTAGTGAGAAGTGGGGCAGGGAAACAATGATAAATGATTTTATACTTGTACAGCATCTCAGGTTTTTGTAGCCTTTACAGGTGCCCCATGAACAAAAATGTTAAGCATCTACATATGTAAGCTCCCTTTATAGCCTGTGCAAGACAGGGAGGATGAATTGCCTTGTAGAGGTGCCAGGTTCTTCCCACTGCTGGCACAAAAGGCACCTGTCCTGAACAGGGTTTAAGTTGAGGGTGGCAGATCCTACCCTAACTCTCTTAATGCTTGTCCCAGCACATGGAGTGGAAGATACTAGAACACACGTTTTTCCTCGTTTGTGGTCTTTCAGGCAGTATTTGTATATTTCTGAAAACTATCAAGGTGTTATTAGAAATGCTGCAGGATTTAGTCAGCTTCTGGCTCTGTACTTAGCACGCAGCTTTGCAACCAGTACCAGTCAACTACCAAAATTCATAACAGAGATTGACCTCTGGACAATATAGTAGAAGGCACAAAGGATGCAACTGAAGTACGTGTTGTGCATTGGTACAATGTTATCTGAAGGAATTCTGCTTCTGGGCAGAATGGGTGTAGAAAAATGGGTTGTAGCAAATATCGACCAGAAGGTGGCATTAGACACATGAAGTTTTTGATATTCAAAGCTGCACTCACCCTACGTGCAGTTGCTCTCCTGAATACCTAAGAACACCTTTGTCTTTATTTTTTCAACCCTTTATTGTTACAGTAATCCAAAATGTTCTGTGTAAGCTCTGGGAATAAGTGGAGATGCTACATATTATAAAAAAATAAATCTGCCTGTAAATTCTGCAGCAATTGTACTAATTCTGTGTGAAACCCACATAGACATATCAAGGCTGTTATTATTTAGGGACCCTTTCCCTTGTAAACAAAGGAGTTCTTCTAGGTCATTCCTTTCCTCTCCATCAAAGGGCAGTAGTCTCCAGCCACCTGCCCCATAAGCTTCTGGATGAGGTGCTGGCAAGCACCATGCAGAAGGCACTGCTAAAATGGATGATGGCAATACCTCACTGCTCCATCATTGCCTTCCCCCCCAGAAATCCAAACAGTATCTCTTTCATGGCAATGCAGACAAATTGTATTACTGAGCTGGCTCAAGATCTTTATTCCTAGCAAGATTAATTTGTAATTACTTTAAGCCTAATTAAAATTAAGATCATATTAAAGGTTCACTACCACACTTGATCGTTCCAAAGGAGATTATAAATTGAAATAGTGTTGGGGATCAGGGATAATGCAGTGCTGAATGGATGTGGCACTTTTATCAATAGCAAAAATTTGTTCCTTGTGCTTTAAATTATTGAATGCTGCAACCTTACGAAGAGCTGAATGTGAAACTAATCACTTGCTTTAGGAGTATGAGTAGGAGCTAATGTAGTGCAAACAATAAAGGTTGATCACAGATTCCCCATTTGCATCTGTACCAACTGCAGAGCATACACTTCCCAGCTGATAAGTATTCTCTTGCTGGAAATTGCTACCCTGCTCCAGCCTGCCATCTCACTAGTTTACAGGAGTGCTCCTCACTCTGCCTCCTCAGAATTAACAGGATTCACAAAAATCCATTCTTTAAATTGTTGAAGGCAGCTGAGTTTACCAGCTAGGGACAGAGGAACACTCCACAAGTTAGAGCAAGTTTGACCTGAGCTGGCAGGTCAAAAGAGGTGACAATGTCTGGTAAGAGAATGGTGAAAGGGCTCTTGAAATGGCAACTCCACTGTCTGAAGCATTGGGAGCAATGAGCATTGCACAATTCCTTTGGAAAGGCCTGACAGTTTGAGATGCACAGCAGTGCGTTACGAGGACATGCCTGGCTGAACAAACGAAAAGGGGCAATTCACACTCCAAATACAGACCATGTTGATCAAATAAAGCAGGACACTATTTACGGCAGGAGACTAGGAATTAAGAGTCCTGAGTCCTACTCCCATTCTGCTGCTGACTGCTTGTGTGGCTGGAAGTCAGGTACTTATAATTGAACTTTCTCAGTAAAACAGGGTTAATAATATCCTCACATCCCCGTAAAGCACCATGAAACCTCTGGATGGTGTGTGTTCTAAATGCAAGTATCATCGTTAAAGTATTTCTTGAAGCAACACGTGAAGGCTATTCACTATCACAATATGAGTTCCTTTGCTTAGCTCTACATGCTCATCAATCAAATACATTTTATGGAACATAATGGTGTCACAGTAGAGAGGTTGGAATTCAAGAAAGTTCTAAAGCACAGGTCAGAGGTGGTTGCAAGAACTGTGATGGAATTAGGCAGCTGATTGAACTGGCTCTTCAAATGTTTGTAGTTTTTGTACAAAAAAGTCTAGTAAAAGAACTATCAGCAAAGAAAGTTCCCATGCTGAAACATATGAATCCTCAGTGCAGAGTGAAGGAAGAGGGAAGTTCCACAGGCAATTTGTTAAAATTTCCTAGCCGTTAATTACTCAGTTAAATTATTTACTAGAATACAAAGTAATGTAAAGCTCATATGTAAATGGTACCTGTCCTGGACTGAGTGTAACAACATGGGCTGTTGAGTTCCTAAACTCAGGAAAGCGTTTCAGATCAGGGTTGGCAATGTTGACTTTGCTGAATATGCTGGATTCCTCATAAGGGATCCTCGTGGGATAAAGGAAACTGGTGTCACCAGGTGGGAAGAGGTGCCATCTCTTCCTGAAAATAGAGAGAAGATAAAAATGTATTCAGTGCATGTCACTTACAGCAAAGAACTAAAGGCAGTAGCAAGGTTTTCAATAAAACATAAATCTGCCTCGCTGTGTGAATCTCCTACGCAGTGAGAACACAGGCAGTGCTTACAGGCTGTCTCCTGAAAGTGTTTTTAAAATATTCCACTTTTTAATTTTTTAACTGAAAAGATTTAAATCTTCTCACCAATTATTTTTAAAAGGCAGATAAAATAAAATTTTTAAAAATGCTCTCCCATCTGGCTTCTCCTTCCTTGCTTACACATGCAGTATTTACAGATGCTTAGAGCATTAAAAATTGCTCTGTAAACTAGAGAAAATAATTTTGTTAGAGACAATGTATTTTAATTCACTGAATGAATAGCTTTCAAAACCCACATGTGTTTTGAAAAGAAGGCATCATGTGTTTAGGATGGCAACAGTAAAAGGGTATGGACATGATCTTCTGTTTCCTATCATCACCTGCAGTACTTACATGGCTGTTAGTCACAACCCTCTCATTCTCAGTAAACATCACCTTGATGCTCCTGTGCCAAAGATAGCATAAATAAACCCCAGACACATCCATAGACCTAAGCATCCTGAAACCCAGTATATTGTGTGCTATCAGTACCACATGATGAAAATGTAGCTTGTGTGGGCCACTGGGTTTAAGAACTTACTGGTACGACTAAACGCCCAGATGGAGCAGGACAGGGTTGTTCTGCTCACAAGGGCAAATCATGTGCCAGGTTGCACTCTATGCATCCAAAGAAGTATGTGAATGCAGCGCAGGGCAGGGTGAAGCAGAGCTGAGACAGAGACCTTGTCCTCAGGAGCTAATCGACCAGATCGAAGAGGAAAAAAAGAATATGGCAGAATTGGTGGTGCCAGTTTTATGGGGATTATAAATGAAATACCTTAGCAGGTACATATGTTATTTAGAAATAGAAGTTTTATATGGCAGAGAATTTATTACATTTAAAAGGTGCCAGACAAACAGTACAACGTGACCCATGCACCAAGCAATGGAAAAATAAAGACAGCAATTTACAGCACAGTTGGACAACTTGAGCAGCTCTCCTCTTTGTTTCAGACTCTAGCAAGAACTTTACTTTTTGTCCCTTTCCTTGCTACTCACTTCTTGCTTTTTGTCTACTGTTTCTGGTTGTCAGATCAGTCACAGATCTGAAAATGGGAGAAAAGCAACCAAATGGCACAAAACCAGAAGAGACAGGAACAGAAGAGAGAGGAATAGCAGGATAGCCAGAACTGCAGAGACTGGCACAGATGGAAGTGCTGTGGGCCGCTGACATTTCTTGGTAATTACCAAAGCTACTGCTGGGTGCAAGCACAAAAACAGTTCTCCTGAAACTCAGGCCTTATTGCAACTTTATTTTGCCCTCCAAGCTAGATCCTCTGAAGGGGCAGAGAATAACTAGGTTAGGAGGCTCAAGGTTAATCCTGCAGGCTCATGACAAAGCAATATCATGAAGCAAAAAATTAAGAAGCCCAAGGGATGCAAGGAGGAAATTCAAGATAGCAACAAAGGGCTAAGGAGCCATCCCTGGCTTTCCTGCAAAGGCAAATCTATTTAAGTTTAGCATAAGCTTATATTCTGTTACAAAGCCTGTCTTGTTTGTGAGTCTCAAAAGGGAATCTTTCTGCTCTGAAGAAGCACAGGATTCACAAGCTTATGGAACTTTGCAATCTATTTAAAGGCTTTGTTCTGAAGAGGAAAACAACTTTGTCTTTTCAGGCCATGCAGAGGCTTTAGACTTCTTTTCCCTGAGCGGAACAATGATTTTGTTCTACCAGAGGGGGAGGAAGTGCCTTGGGAAGGCAGGCAAAACTACTACATGATGCTGGAACTCTGTCTCAAGTTCTACATCTGAAGGTAGAGATCAAAGAGGCTTGGCAGGTATCACGTCTGCTAGACTACTGTACATATTTAGTACACCCAGAATATATGTGGATCCTTGGTAGATATTTAGACATTTAAGTCTCATGGTCTTCAATGAGATTTCTGGCTCATGAATACACTTAAGTGTCTGGACTTCAATGCACAATGCTTACTGACGTGATCTGAGGTCTACAGGACTGGCTGCAGTGCAGTGCTGAGAGAGCCTTCTGGAATGTCTCTGCTGCACATTCACCCAAGGATCTCAAGGCTGTTTACAAACACGAATGAAAACCTACCTGAGAGCTGAAAAGAGTTACCATTCTTACAGATAAGATGATGACAAACTCATTTCTGTCAGGCCTTAAAGCCAACCAACCTGTGGCACTGCCCAGCTAGAAGCCAGCACACCTGACTTCCAATCCTGCACTTTAAGCACACCACCACTGTGATTTTACTGTTCTATAAAATGTCAGAATAATTAATCCCATTGAAATCTCACTAGCAAATTACTCTTTCCACTCTAGCCTATCAAACCTAAAAAATGCGTGCAACTTGTTTTGTTACTTTAGCACTACTCCAGCAGTAATAGATAACAAAAAACCCTGAGGCCAATATGCAAGGAAAGGCTAAAGAAAAGAACAGATTGAAAACAAAGACAGCAAGCAAACAGGCAGAAAGATACAGCAACAAAGTTACATGTTCCCAAATGAGTTTGGAGCCTCAAACGTCCCTTCTAACTTTGCTCAGGGCTGGCTGCTCCCTTCCTGATGTTCCCCTTTTAAATTAATTCTAGCAGGCTATTAGAGGCTCTTGCACAGAGAATATTGTAAAAGTCTAAAGTAGTTTCTTTCTATTTTGTTTTGGGCTTTTTTATTTTTAACTCTTCTTATCCTAATTCCAAATTCCTGAATTTGTAACTTCTTGGAAGATTAAACTTGCTATTATTGGACCACTTAACACACAGATCTTAAAATCAAACTGTGTTAGCTCCACAACCCAGTCAAACTCCAACCCCTTGAGGTTCTGCTATTTCCTATAAAACAATTCTGATCCTCTTCAGTCATTGAGAGCTCAAACAACTAAAATAATCAGGATCTAGAATTAATAGTCAAAGCATCCAGAACTAACTCAGCATAGTGTAACTGTCCTCTGTATTGGCTGTATGTATATGCTCTTGTTACCTTCCTTGTACTTGTAACACTAAGTTGCAGCCATAGGAGTCCAAATGGCAGGGGGTGTTTGCTCCTTCAGAACCAATCCACAACGTGCTCTCTTTTCCACTTCTTCCAGGAAAACCAAAGTCACACCACCTTATATCCTACAGCAACAAAAAGGGGTTTTATGTAAGCTGTTGAACTGATTCACATCCAACCCTCAGCTCTCATCTCCCAGCTTCTCCTTCCACTGCTCAGTCACTCTATCCACTGCAGCTACTGCTCCTTGGTGGGGTTCTGGAGCAGGCATGGCTGTGCCCCTTCCTCCAAAATTCTCAAGTAGCATTTCTTCTGCTGACTTTCTTCCTCTTCTGTCTGACTACACAGCCTCCGAGATCTCAGTCTCCAGTGCTCATCCCTGTCTGTCATATCACTCAAGTTATCCAGCTGCTCTACAGAAGGACTGCCCAAATGCCCACATGGGGCTTCTTTCCTTTTCAAACAGTCTTTTTTTCCTTTCTCCACTCTTAACCAGCCACCCAAGCTCAGGACTGCTTTTGGAAAATTTCTGATATATGGCATTTCAAAAAAGAATGAACGGTAGGAAGGAAAGAAAAATCCCTTTTCAAACCAATACGTGGCATATTTGCTCTCTCTTTGCTCCTCAGCTTTCTCCATGTAGTCTGGAAACACAGACTCTACCCATATTCTGACCCAGTGTTATGCTGGTTTTTTAAGTTTCTTGTTATTTAATGGACACATCTACAACTTCAGAGGCAGTGAATTTAAAACAACTCGATTACATGGTGAGCAAGGGCAGAACAGGTGTCTAAGTGCTATGAACACAGTCCTGGAGCTTTCCAGTCTGTTGATCCTCCCACAGAAATCCCTTGCAGATGACAGTTGGAACGAGGCACAGTGAGGTGTTTTTCAGAGAAGTCCAAGGGTTTTGCAGAATGGTTCTGTGTAGCTTGGATAAAGCTCTTCCATGTTTCTATAGCTCACCCTGCCACCTGCAGGGCCTGATCATTTGTTTATTGGAAAGCACATGAAGTACACTGGCCAGAGATACTGGTGCCTTTTGGCTGGAGCCCCAGACTGAGCCTTAGGAACAGAGATTAAATTCCTGGCTTCCTGATGGTCTCGGGCAAATCGCTTCATCTCTGAGCTTTATTTTTCCCGTCTTGAAAAGGAAGATAACAGTATTTGTTCTGTTTCAGTAAAGCACTTTGGGGTCATTTACATCACCTAACTTTAGGACCCTAACTTAAGCTTGGCTTCTGGTCTAGTCAAAACACTCCCGGTCGTGCCTTGGAAAATCATCTCTCTTTCTGCTGTCTATAAAGAGAAAAGAGGAGTCTAGGAGTCCTAATTTAAGTATGTAAGATAGCTGCTTGCAGACAGGTGGATGACTATCCTTTTCTAAAATCTATGAATGAGGAAAACTACAGCTTGACATCATTATAGGGATAACTTCACCATGAATCTGTATCAGGAAACCCTCAAAATGAGCGATGGCATTCCCAAAAATTAGGTGTTGCTAAAGATTTTGAATTTCAGAGTTATTGATTTTAAAGATATCATTTGAAAAAAAAAAGGCAGGAGAGTAATATAAACATTTGTCAAAGACAGCGAAAGATCAAGAGGAAAAAGTTGCTCCTATAGATTTCTGCAGCCATAAAATTTAGAATCCAATACAACTATTTCAGTGAAAAAGTTAAGCATAACACCATCTCTACACTTTAATCTCACACCTAAATAGTTTCTGTATTTTGTTACAATTTAAGTGGAAAGAAAGCACACATAATCAATATTAGATTTCAAAGAACTTCTTGAAAATGCTGCTGCTGTAGTAAATAGTTGAAGCGATTATGGGTAAAATAGTTTTTAACCAATGAACTGAAAAGGAACTGGTAGGATTACTGAAATCTTGTCACAGTGGGTTCCTTTTCTACAATAAAAAGCCACAGTAAGAAGAAATGCACTAAAAGGTGTTCCAACCATAACAGATGGCACATTACTTGTGAATTATATTTATTTCATTTGCTGCTTATAATGAAGTTAATCTGTACCCGTATGTCACTTTAAAAGGTCTCATTTCTATTTAAACTTCATGCATGTATCTTGCTTCTGATTTATATCTCAAATTCTGTAATGAAGTATCAACTGAACAAAAAATGTAAGATGCTAGATATTGCTCATAGATTAGAATAATGGAATCATTACCTTAGCCCACACAACTGTAAATGATAAACAGTGCAATCTAAATTTCAAACAACTTCTAAATGGCCCTATTAATCACTATAAATAACAGCACAGTTGGCCTTCTTTTCCCCTTCAAATCACCTTATGTAAATCTCAATAAAATCTAAAAAGAAAAAAAAGGATTATCATCAAATTCACACAAGAATGGAGAAGAATTTCTACAAAGAACTCTTTTGGCTGGTATAAATTGTGTAGCAGTGTTTCAAGAGCCATATGAGTCTGGAACTGACGGATGCATTTCTCTCCCATGCCTGTGAAAATGGCAGATGACACACACCATATTTGCTTGCATAACACCATAGATTTTTTCCTTCCCAGATTCTGCTTTTAAAAAAAATCCATGGCACAACCATTACGTGTGTCTATTCTAAACTTGCAGTACAATCTGTGGCTTGTTATAGGTCAGGTGATCTGGTTCTGGTATGACACCTGCACAGAAATACAGTTCTTGGAGCCTCAACTTTGCTCTTGAATGGGGGCAAGGGGAAGAAGGAGGCAGGAAAATGGTTGTTTCCTCCAAGTGTGTTTTTATTGACTGAATGAAGCAGCAGGTTATTCAGGTCTTCTGAGCTGCTATTATCTTGTGCCATGAAACACAGGAAAATGCTGTCTGTTGAGGCAGAAAAAGAGAAGACCAAGACAGGACCACAGATAGAGGAAGTCATGCAAAGATCTGAGGAAACCTGAAATATCCCTGAAGTTCCCAACTTAGTTCAAACAACACGAACCAGTATCAGTCATGCAGCCCAAATTTATGTGATCCTGATTGGGTTTCATTGTGCTTAGAAAGGGGAGGGAGAAAGGAAGGTAAGATGATCTCTGTGTCCAAATCTTAACTCTGGATCCACAGAACCACAGGAAAGGAGACAGTCAGAAAAAATGACTAAGCACTGAAAAATACTAATTTTTCTTGTATAAAAGAATAAAATACATACAAAGAGCATGGGAAATGCTTTCCGAGAAAATAATTAATTTGAGGGGACTTATCAGTTCATACTCTCTGTCATCCCGGTGGCACAGGTCTTGTAGGGAATTATGATTCCATTTTCATCTTTCAAAGTATAGAATTGAATAGTGCTTCATTTACTAGTATTTCTTTCTACCTTTTGAAAAAGTATACCTTTTGCATAGCTATCCCTAATTTTGCTCTCTTACAATTTGCAAAGAGAAGTAACTGGAATGAGGATGAATCAATACATTGAATAGCAGATAGTCACAGACAGAATAAAAGAAAATACCTGAGGTAGCTGTCCTAATACCTGTATTTAGGAATTACCATAGATTATGTACTTCCATGGACAAGTTACTTCATGTATTTTACTTCCTCCATAGAAAATTTAGATATAATAATGCCAGAGGCTCAGAATCTCTCCTCCTCACACACAGTAAATCCAAATATATTACGGGAAGGAGCAGTGCTGCTAGAGAAAATGAGCTATAATGCAAAACACAGAGCAAAACCATGTTACAGCCTTGTTGCTGCAAGTGAATACATGCCATCAAATCCTTTCTCCTGAGTGGAGCTGTTAATTTGGGCACCATTTGGGCACAATGTGGGTCTGGGGCAGCAGCAGGGTCTCAGGTTTGCAATATGCCAGGCCTGCCAGCTGCCTGTCATCTCCACACTCCTACCTCACATTCATACCTTCAGCAGAGGTGCAGAGAAGGTGTTCAGCTGCAGAGGTCACACATGTGACTTGGTGCTCTCCAAGCCTGCTGAGTCACAAAATGATGCTGGGCCAAATGGGAAGGACAGTGCTGCAACCTGGTAGCTGTTTTTGTCACTTTGGGTGTTGTTTTCAGACTAATAAGGAGACCCAGAATTTTAGACAGCTGCCACTCGGTACCAGTTCTCTGTTAGCCTGGGAGCCAATAGCTTTTGTTCCAAAATTTTAAAATAAATGGCCAAAGGAGCAGAGAAGGGATAGCAGTAGAGGTTTCAGAAGCTACACTAGATAATTTGCAATGGTTACATTCAGAAGAGATAACATTAATGTTTTACCTGGAAAAGTTCTGGCTTGTCTTCAAATACTCTGGCAAGGTATTTGTAGTCAGCATACGCCCAGTATTTGGAGTAATCATAACAACTGAATGGTCCAGAGAGACAAGGTGGCTGCCCACAACTCCAAGCCAAAAACTGTTCAAGTGTAGCCTTCACATAGCTACACTTGGTCTCAAACTGAGGAACTAGAGCAAAAAAGAGAAAAGCCAAATATTACATGAGCACTGAGCTCAGAATGAGTAAAAACGGTTATGTAGTTTCTCTCTCATCGCTAGCTAAATACAACATGAGATATGAAGTGGGACTAGGTAGCTCGACTCTGTCAATAAAAAGGTTCTCTTCACCTAAGTCACAATTAAAGCCTGAGACTATTGCTTTTTCATTAAGGTTTAAGTGAATAGCTGTTACCTTGAACTTGCTGTGAGATAAAAGCACACTGATAGTTACTGTTGTTCTTCAGCATAGTAACTCATAATACACCCAGGTTCCTTAAACAACTTCACTGCATCTTCCTTCCTAAGTGTGAGCTGCAAATGTGCACACAAGTATTTGTGTACTCTTTATTTTGTCTCCGTGGATTTATGTAGATGGACATGTCCATCTTACCCT